AAAAGTCCAAGACCCAATGGCTTCACAGATAAATTCTACCAAACACTTAAAGAAGATTTACCTATTCTTCTCAAACTATTCCAAAAATTCAAAAGGAAGGAAAGCATCCAAATTAATTCTATGAGGCTAGCATCACCCTGATGTTGAAATGAGAATAACGACACTACAAAAAAGAGAGAACTACAGGCTAATATCCCTGATGAACATAGATGCAAATATCTTCAATAAAACATTAGTAAAATGAATCCAACAATACATTAAAAAACTCATTTACCATGATCAAGTGGGATTTATTCCTGTGATGCAAGGGTAGTTCGATGCTCTCAAATCAATCAACATGATATATCACATCAATAAGAGAAGGGATAAAAAAAAACATAGCATCATTTCAACAGATGCAGAAAAAGCATTTGACAAAGTACAACATCCTGTCAAGATAAAAACCCTCCACAAAGTAGGTTTAGAGGGAACATACTTGAACATAATAAATGTCTTATATGAAAAACCCATAGCTAACATCACCCTCAATGGGGAAAAACAGAGCTTTCCCCCTAAGGTCAGGAACAAGACAAGGATGTCCATTCTCACCACTTTTATTCAACATATTACTGGAAGTCCTGGTCACAGCAATCAGACAATAATAAGAAATAAAAAGATCCAAAGGAAGAAGTCAAACTTTCCCCTATTTGCAGGTGATGCGACACTTTATACAGAAAACCCAAAAGACTCCACTAAAAAACTACTATAACTGATAATGAATTCAGTAAGGTCACAGGACACAAAGTCAATATACAGAAATCCACTGCCTGTCTATACATTAATAATGAAGAAAGAGAAATTAAGAAAACAGTCCCATTTACAATGGCAACAAAAAAATAATAAAATACGAAGGAATAAATTTAACCAAAGAGGTGAAAGACCTGTACTCTAAAAACTAGAAAACACCGATGAAAGAAGCTGAAGAGGACACAAACAAATGGAAACATATTCCATGTTCAAGGATTGGAAGAATAAATGTTGTTTAAATGTCCATACTACGAAAAGCAACCTACAGACTTAACACAATCCCTATCAAAATACTAAAAGCATTTTTCACAGAAATAGAATAATCCTAAAATTTGTATGGAACTACAAAAGATCCTGAATAGCCAAAGCAATCTGGAAAAAGAAAAACAAAACTAGAGGCATCACACTCCAAGATTTCAAAATATACTACAAATCTGCAATAATGAAAACAGTGTGGTACTGGAGTATCAAATCTTGACTGCGGGTTCATGAGTCCAAGCCTCACATTGGGCATGGAAGGCTACAATAATTAAGGGGCACCTGGGTGGCTCAGTCAATTGAGCGTCCAACTAGTGATTTCAGTTCAGGTCATGATTCCAGGGTCATGGGATCGAGCCCCACATTGGACTCTGCACTGAGCATGGAGACTGGTTGGGATTCTCTCTCCTCCCCTCTGTCCCTTTGCCCATCTCTGCCCCACTCAGATAAAATTTAAAAAAAGAAGAAAAGAAATAATACTCAGCCATAGAGAATGAAATCATGCCGTTTGCAACAACATGGATGGATCTAGAAATTATAACGGTGGGGTGCCTGAGTGGCTCAGTAGGTTAGGCAGCAGACTCTTGATTTCAGCTAAGGTCATGATCTCAGTTTGTGAGACTGAGCCCCACGTGGGGCTCCACACCACTAGTGCACAGAGCCTGGTTCTGATTCTCTCCCTCCCTTCCTCTCTGCCCCTCCCCTGCTCATGCTTGCTTTCTCACAAAACAAATGAATAAACTTTTTAAAAAGGTTAAAAAAAAAAAAGGAAATTATAATGGCATGTGAAGTCAGAGAAAGACCAATACCATATGATTTCACCCATATGTGAAATTTAAGAAACAAAACAAATGCAGAAGAGATAAAACCTAAAAAACAGACTCTTAACTATAGAGAAGAAACTGATGGTTACCAGAGGGGAGGTGGATGGGGGGATGGGTGATATAGGTGAAGGGGAGGTTTTAACAGCACACTTATGATGATGAGCACTGAGTAATGTATAGAATTGCTGACTCACTATATTGTACACCTGAAACTAATACAACACATTACGTCAACTATACTGGAATTACAATAGGTCGTCGTCGTCATCATCATCATATTTTTATAATGGCAAAACTGTAGAAAAGAACACAAACATTTATCTACAGTATAATGGATAAATATATATGGATGAATTTCACAAACATAATTTTAAGCAACAAAAGTAAATGGCAGGGGCACCTGGGTGGCTCAGTCAGCTGAGTATCTCACTTCAGCTCAGATCATGACCTCTCACTTTATGAGTTAGAGCCCTGTGTGGGGATCTGTGCCGACCCTCCCCTGCTCACATTGTGTCTCTATCTCTCAAAAATAAATAAACATTAAAAAAAATTTTTTTAGGGGCGCTTGGGTGGCTTAGTCGGTTAAGCGTCCGACTTTCGCTTAGGTCATGATCTCGCGGTTCGTGGGTTCGAGCCCCGCGTCGGGCTCTATGCTGACGGCCAGCTCGGAGCCTGGAGCCTGTTTCAGAGTCTGTGACTCCCTCTCTCTCTGACCCTCCCCTGCTCACGCTGTCTCTCTCTCTCTCCTAGAAATAAATAAAAAATATTTAAAAAAAAAATTTTTTTTAATCACACATGGTAGGGGTGCCTGCATGGCTCAGTCAGCTGAGTGTCGGACTTTAGCTCAGGTGATGTTCTCGCAGTTTGTGAATTCAAGCCCCATATCAGGCTCACTGCTGTCAGCATGGAGGCTGCTTTGGAAGGAAGGAAGCAAGGGAGCTAGTGTGGTTAGAGCACACTGAGTGAGCTGTGAAGAGGTCAGAGAGGTAAGCTGGGTAAGTGGCGGTGGGACTAGGCAGGCACAAGATGACGTGGAAGCCCCTCGGCCAGTGCTATCCAATGGAAGTATAATGTAAACTACATGTGTAATTTTAAATTTTCCAGTAGCCACAAAAAAAGGTAAAAAAGAAACCAGTGAAATTAATAAAAATTAACATATTTTATTACAGCTAATACCACAAATTTTTGTCATTTCCACATGTTTTCAATATAAAAACTCCAGGTATTTTACTTTTTTTGGTACTAAGTCCTCAAAATCTAATGTGTATTTGACACACTCAATTCAGATTAGCCATGTCTGAAGTGTTCAATAGTGGATAACAATACGGACAGAACAACTGTAGGCCATTCTAAGGACTTTATATTTAGAAAAATGGGGAGGCTTTGCAGAATTTTGAGCATAAGAGAAATATGATTTAAGTTCTTATACGACCAATTTCATTACTTGTTGAGAATATACAGAAATCCACATGAAATGGTAACGGCATGCAAAGTAGTTGCTATAGAAGAGGGAGAAGTTAGATTCTGGATTTTATTTTGAGGGTAAAACCAACAAGATTTGTCAACTATTTAACATGAAGTATAGGGGATATAGGGAGTTGAGGATATTCTGAGGTTTTGGCCCAGACAACTGAAACAACGAAGTTGTCATAAATGAGATGGAAATGACCACAGGCTATGAGGAGTTTGATTTCAGACAAGTGTTAAGTGCTTATGAGATACACAAGTGGAGATCTAGAACTGGCAGATGAGTTTAAGAATGTAAAGTTCAGGAGATGCTTCAACTGTAGATATATATTTGAGAACCATTAGACATAGACAACAAATATAAATTTGAGAGTCATTAAGATATAGACAATAGTCAAAGCCAGGACACTTAAATGAGATCACCCAAGGAGTGAATAACTTGTATACAGAAGACATGAAGGTGAAAGATGGGATCCTGGGCCCTAAGACATTCCAACGTAAGAGGAGGAGGAACCAGCACAGTAATGTGAGAAATGACAGGTGAGAAAAAAAAAAAAAATATATATATATATATATATATATATATGGGAGTGAGGAATCCTAGAAGCCAAGAGAAGAAAATGTGGCAAGCAGAGGATAACATTCAGTTCTCCTTTTGGCTTGTCTAATGTAATGTTATTTCTGCCATACAATGAAGATAATGCTATTAGTCCTTTTGCTCACTTAGTAGTTATCAGGAGCTGTCGTGATCTCTTGCCACCACTCTTAAGCAACAACTATCCCAAATACAGAATGCTGGTCTTGACACTAAATGTTCCTCTAAGAAGCTCAAAGAAAAACCTAGGATGCAGTTAAAAAAAAAAAAAATTACTGGCCTATGAATGAAGCTTCAGTTCTTCCTCTGCCACTGACTTTAACAGGATGTTTCTTCCTCTGTAAAATGAGAGCGATGCTTGCTGCTGCCTCCACCTAACGAGCTACCTTAATTAAATAACAAAAAGTATCACTGCCTCAAAAACACAAAACAAAAATTAAAAAGCACTGTACAAAAAAAAAAAGCATTGTACCAAAAATGAACTATCCTCCTAGACAATAAACTGGAACTTACTAAGTGCTGAAAGCAGCTGCTACCAAGAAGTACTACACAATTCGTCTCCAAATGATAAATGTTGATGCAGATTAGGCAAGGTCTGTACGTTAAAGATTCGCCTGCAACAATGTACTCCCAAAAGCACCAATGAGTATTTTGTAAAGTGTTCAAGTTTACAGCTGTAGATCACTCAAATACATCACCTCTTCCATTCCAGAACTCACTTATCAAACTCCTTTCCCGCGCAGCCCACACCCCCAGTAAAGCAGACAGAACGTGTCTTGGCCTCCGTCCCTACAGGTGACTTGGGGGGGGGGGGAGGGGGGAAGGAAGGGTGCAGGGTGCATTCTCCCCCCACACACACACCCTTATAGTGGACGGCTCCAGAAAGGAGTCAAACCTTTGATAAGGTCGCTTTTAAGTAGTAATAACCCTCTAGAGGACTTAGAACCCCAAAACAGCAGGGAGCTTCTCGAGCCCCAGTTTAGACCCGTGTCTAGGAGAGTCCACCTTACAACTGGAGACTCCCCGCCAGAGCTATTTCCCCCCGAAGCTCAGACAACTCCTTGCTTTACCTCTACCGAGGCATCTTATGGTCGCCGCCATGTCGACGATTCCGGATTGTATTGACGAAATGGGTCCCACGCTTCAACTTGGAAGAAACAAAAAGGGTTCCCCTCCGGAATTGGCAGAGGGGGAAGGATTAGGAAGAGCAAGAGGAAAAGGGGCGGGAACCAAAACAGGTTCTCAAGGCTGCAGGGAAGGGCGAACAACGCCTGTGTCCCGTGGCGGTGTTACACTCAGGCTCCGGTGCTAGTCTTCCGTGCTAGGACCGTGTGTTTCGTGGTTCCGGGACGGCAGCTTAAACCATCTTCAGAGAAATCTCGTCGTCGAAAATGTTGGCGTTCCCCTATTTTATTCCTTTTTTTCCTCTTTGATTCTGCAAATGAACTCGGAACGATAATGTTAATATATTGTGAAAGTACCCAGAAAAGCATGAAAAACAGAAGGATATGAAGGATCTCACCAGCTTCTATCGCCCAATTTTCCAGCCTGTAAAAACGTTAAAATTCGCCAGGCTTTCCACTACCACCCAAGGTGGGTATCCCACTCACTTTCTTTTTATCTCAACTCACGATCAAAGTGGTTTTAAGTTAACCTTAACATCAATCAGCTCTACATTTTCCTTCTTTTGGCAAGGTGGCACATTAGGATAAATTGAATAATATTTGAAATTTTTATGTAACACTTATGGTTTTAAAATGGTAGGTCTGAGATCTACGCACAGATTATTACTACTGAAAAAAAAATCAGTATCCTTTCCATTACGTCACAGCTGTTGGCAGCATCATTTAATCTAAAATGAATCTGATCAGATTATATCACTTCCCAGTTTAATTTAAAACTACACCCCCACACACACACATACACACTCACTCACTCGAGCTCCCCTGTCCTCTGCTTATCTCCCCAGCCTCAAATAGCTGCCAACATCCTTCTTCCACTCCAAACACACACACACACACACACACACACACACACTTCATTCCCCCTCTCTTTAGAATGAATATTTTTCACCAACTCCCTAGATAACTTTCTAAACATTCTGGCTCAAACTTTACTCACTCCCTCCTCCCTGAGTTATGGCCACCTCTTCCTGGTTTTGTACACTACCCAGGGATATCTGCTTTTGTTTGTTTAAACAGTTTTAATGAGGGGTGCCTGGGTGTCTCAATCAGTTGAGGGCCGGACTTTGGCTCAGGTCACGATTTCACGGTTTGTGGATTCAAGCCCCATGTTGGGCTTTGCACTTACAGCAGAGTCTGTTTCAGAATCTCTCTGTCTCTCTCTCTCTCAAAAATAAATAAACATTAAAAAATAGTTTTATTGATATCTATTTCATATATCATACAAATCACCAACCTAAATTTTACAATTCTATGGTTTTTAGTAACCATCACTACAATAGATCTCTTCCCACCAATCTGAGCTTTTTGTGGGCAGAAATCATATCTTATTCATTTTTATAACTTCAGTGCATTACAGTGCTGTGAAAAGTGAGATGATTCATTTTCAGAAATACAAAATAAAAACTGCTGTATAGTTAACACTAGGTTTACAACCTATTGGAAGTATGTACAACCCCCTCCCCCAACAATGGAGTCCAAAACCCTTAGACACTTCACTTCCTCCGCATGTTTTGGGCTTTGCAATAAGCATGCACCAAAGAACTGAAGTCTGTGTCACTTCAAGGTATGTACATTTGTTCCAGTCAGACTACTTGTTGCCTTACATGGGCATAGACAACTTCTGGGTAAGGCTGTAACCTCTGGAGTACTCAGCCAATGAGGAATCTGGGGAAGGACTTGCACACTGGGAGATAAAGTGTCTGCTGTAACTGGCCCAACTGTGCCTGTCCATCAGACACCCACGCTTGCAAGAATGTTGATTAAAGCCTTGCTTCACTGTGCTCTGAGTCTTCGCATCTCACCTTTGATTGGGTCAGTGGGCTTATTTATCACAAATACCTGGCACATAAGAAGCCACCAATAAATGTTTGGTAGTAAATGAATATATACCTCCATTAATTAGTGACTCCATTAAAATGCCAAGCATGCAAAATTAACTTGCTTCCATGAAGCTGCCCACAAGAAGTTGGACTGAATCAAAGTAGGAATTTTCCAGATGCTTTATTTCATATTTATATATAGTGCCCATCTACATGAAGGATAAGATTTCTAATTTATTTCCCTGTCTTATTAATACCTACACAGTTACTTCAAAATTTCCACACCTATTTATGACTGTTACACACACACACACACACACACACACACACACACACTAATTCAGAGACTCCTGAGTGTCTCAGTTGGTTAAGTGTCCAACTCTTGATTTGGCTCAGGTCATAATCTCACAATTCATGGGTTTGAGCCCCATATTGGGATCTGTACTGGCAGAGCCTTGCTTGTGCTCTCTCTCTGAAAAAATTCCAAGAACTTGAATCTACTGTTATAACTTCCTTCCCGTCCTCCCTGTTTCCTTTCTTTTCTCCTTTCTTTTCACAAATATGTTACTGTTTGCCATGTGTCAAGCAGTGTACTTGGCTATGCACAGATGTGGCAAACAAAACTAATACAGCCATTAATCTAATGATCCTTAAAAATTAATTTTTTAATGTTTATTTTTGAGAGAGAGCATGAGTGGAAGAGGGACAGATTGAGAGGGGGACAAAGGATCCAAAGCGGGTTCTGCACTGACATCAGTGAGCTAGATGCAGGGCTCAAACCCACCAACCGTGAGATCATAACCCGAGCCGAAATCAGATGCTCAACTGACTGAGCCACCCAGGCTCCCCGCAAAATTAATTTCATTTGAGGATAAATTCAAGAGTTGAGGCAAGTTCACCAAATCCATTTCCAGACAAAACACCTAGATTAAAAACCTAGATTGTTTTTCCTTAGCCTCTACAACTCCCCTTTTCCGTAACTAGGATCAGCTGGCCTCCATCTGTGCACTTCTTTATGTCTCCTGTTATAACAAGATAATTTAAACACCCAATATTGGGACCCGGAGTAACATGTAGTATGCTTATATTAGTAACCTTATTAAAACAGTGTCCTGTAGAAGTGCAATTTATCTAACTGCCCACTTTGACCACCAGAACTTGATGGCATTCATTAGTCAGTTGCGATCCAAAGTCCAGTTGTCTATGTATAACAATACATAAAGAGGCTATTTAGCTTGAGACTTCCTAAAAACTACAAAAATCCACACTGAACCGGGAACTCTGAGCCTCTAAATAATCAGGATGTAATGAGGTTCTCACCGAAGAGGGGTAGTAGAGCAATGGTGCTCTGGAGCCAAACTTTCTGGATTTAAATCTCAGTATCAGCACTTACCAGCTATGTGGCCTGGGGCATGTTGCTCTACCTCTTTGGGTCTCAGTTTCCTGGGATATGGGGCTAATGAGATACTTTATTGAGGTGCTTACTACAGTACCTGGCACAGAGTAAACACTCATTAAATGTTACAACTTATCATTAGTAAGGAGCCAGTGAGAGCTCTTAACCAGAAAGGCAAAATGAATACGCTATCCTAGTACCTTTTCTTCCATTATCTGCTTATTTCTTAATATGATACATGCTGTTTGTGTTCTACATGTGCTAGGATGTCACATTCTATGTATCAGAGCTTTTATTAGTATTTGCAGAAAGTCTTTAGGCTGGGTTTATGCACTTCCTCAGAGTTCACTCTAAACGCAACTTTTCCCAGTTGATTTCTAGGAAGGTTTATACTGTCCAGGAGTCTTGGCAAAATGCCAGCTGTCTGCCACTTGGCTAACTTCCCTGGAAAAAGCTTCTAAATATTTGCCTAGCCCTGTAGCTTCTTCAACCATCTCTCCATTGTGCTGGAAACTCCTCTGCAAGAAGAGTCACTTCCCATTTTGGGTTCAAGTTGAAAATGAATTCTCCTATTGCATTAAAAACAAGGAACTCTATGACATTTCCTACTTCAATAGAATGCATAAGAATCACCCAGAAGGCTTGTTAAAACAGATTATTGGCCTCAACCCACCAGAGTTTCTGATCCATGGCGGTGGCCCATGAATTTGTATTTATAATAGGCTTTCAGGTGATACTGAGAACTGATATGCTGGTCCAGAGACCACGCTTTATTTATTTTTTTAATAAAATTCCCAATTTTAATCATTTATTTATTTTCTTAAAAATTTTTAATGTTTATTTTATTTTTGAGACAGAGAGAGACAGAGCTTGAGCTGGGGAAGGGCAGAGAAAGAGAGGGAATCACAGAATCCCAAGCAGGCTCCAGGCTCTGAGCCGGCAGCATAGAGCCTGACACGGGGCTCGAACCTATAGACAGCAAGATCATGACCTAAGCCGAAGTCGGCTGCCCAACCTACTGAACCACCCAGGCGCCCCAGAGACCATACTTTAAAACCACTCCCTATGTAATACCATGAAAGAATTTCATCAATACCTATCATTAACTTAGGGAGGAGTTGTTTCTTTTAACAATTTTGTACTCAATATAATACAGGCAATAAAAGTATTAATTCCCATGTGTGTATGTCTCTAGGACTAGAATCTACCCACTCTTATCTTGTCCTCTATACAGAAACTGCTATTCCATACCTGAGTTTTGACTCCAAAACTGCTCAGCTGCAAGCTGGGAGAGTTTCTGGTCTTTGCCTGCCTGCCTATTTGAAATTTAAGTATCACCAACCCCTAGACTCTCTTCTTTGTGCTTACTGAAGACTCAGGTTATTTTTTCATAAAGAAATATCTACCTAGAATCATTTCTTTGTCATAAAGTGGGAATTTAAAGGAATTGGAACTCATATTATCTTGCTCCAAACACCTCCTCCGGTGTGGGAGCTTCTGTGTCCCATAACCCCTAGCTGTCTACTTTAATGCCAGATTGAATTAGGAGATTTAGAACTGTCTAGTGGAATGCTGGTAAATATTTAACTGGCTCTTCAGTACAAAAGAAACAAATATGTCATATTTACCAATCTCTTTGGTATAAATATTCATACAGTAACTGATTTCAAGCTCCAAAACATAAAATCAACCAATTCACAAAATTCTGACAACTTAGCACTTGGTTTTTACATGACTATCACATACTACTGGAAGTTTCCTACTAAAAACCCTTGATACCTTTTAAAAGACCTAAAAACCAAACCAATTAATCCTAGAGCCACACTTCTCAAACCTCAGTGTGAATACAAATCACTTGGGAATCTTATTAAAATGTAGATTCTAAGGACACCTGGGTAGCTCATGAGGTTAAGCATCTAACTCTTGATTTGGGCTTAGGTCATGATCTCATGGTTCATGGGATGAGGCCCCATATTGGGCTTTGCACTGACAGTGTGGAGCCTGCTTGGGATCCTCTCTCTGCCCATCTCTGACA